TAATGCAACTCTATATAAAAATATGCAACTCTCAAGTAACAGAATTTATTAAAAATCTTCTAAACTCAGATTTGTCTGTTTGATTTCACTGTGATAATGAAATAATTTTTAGTATTTTTAGAAAAATATAACATTAATGTTTTTCTGTGAAGCACTTTGTACTCAAATACTCTTGCACTCTTATAAATATTATTATTTGAAAGCAATACCAAGTTAAATGATGTCATCATTGTCCTTATTTGTAAGAGTGTTAAAAAAAGTAAGAAATTCAGTCCTATTAGCGCAAATATTTATTCAAAAAGGAAAATAATACTGTAGTTTTCTTTTCTTTTCCTTATTATTAAAACTATTGATAAAAATCTCGATGACATCTAGAAATTTGGTAAATATTAATTGGGATTAAAAAATGAAATGTACAAAAATATTTTGAAATCTTAAATCTTTATTTCAATGTCTTGTCCATTGTTAACCAAAGAAACAAAAACCCCAAATACAAATAAAGCATTATTTTGATTGAATGATGGTATTTTCCGGTTATTTGAGAGCATCAAGGACAAAAGAAAATGATTTTTTTCCTTCTCTTTGTTTTGTTTTGAAACAACGGGAATTCAAAATGGGAAGAACTTTAAGATTAATTTTTTTTTCATCATAAAATTAAAGTATTTCAAGGTTTTTGTATTAAAATTTTTCAATAAGTTGTCTAATAAACTTTATTGTTGATTATAACTTAGATCTAATTTTGAATTAAAGATAATTTTGAATTAAATTTAAACAAGGAACAGCGATTTATTCAAGCAATTCGTAGAAATATTAATGAAGAAATAGGATCACAATTTCTTATGGTAATGTAATAACTGAAAATGAAATCTCCTATATACATCTAATTTTACACAATACGAGTACTAGTCTACATAAGAGAGCACCACTTTAAAGTATATGGTTTTAAACTCGTATAGGGTATTAATTAGATTTTAGTGTGGATTTTTAAATTTGCTCTCTTTTATTTAAAATTTTAAAAATTACTGGCTTACATAATGATAATAATAAAATCAGGAATGCGTAACATTTTTGGTTGAAACTGCGTTATTGGTGTCAAATCTTAAAGGTTTCCGAGTAGACGCGATTTTGAGAAATTAAAAGTAGTTTTTGCTTGCTCTTATTAACTGGGGCACGAAGTAAATTGGTTTCGAACAATTTTTTTAAAAAATATGATGACATTTTATCATAATTATATGAAAATATTAAAGCACTTTGAGCTTTTTTTTTTTTTAAAAAAATGATTCGAAGCTCTTACCCTTCCTAAAATTGAATGTATTGCAAAACCCGTTTGTTTTATTCATTTCTGCTGCCTTAAAAATGCTTTAAGCACTGATTACTGAATTACTCTGTAAATAGAAAAGGGGAGAATAATATCATAATCGTGAGATAACATCATACAACAAGTGTTAAAATATGGACGATGTTTGTTCTACGTTCTATTCGATGAAATTTGAATAGACGCAAAAAATAGACGCAACTTGAATTGAAAAGTCTATTCTACGTTTATTTTGCATCATATGGGCGTTTCAGCTGATTTATAATTAGAAATAAATCTACGTGTGTGACTCTACGTGTGTGATTTTAGGAATTACTTGTTATTTTCGTTCTTATACAAAAATGTTTACAAAATAAATTAAAACAATTTCAATTTTTTTCTCTCAAATTTATTTTTGATTGAATAATTTATTAATTTCAGTTTATAATTTTTATTTATTTTTTTTTTGTTTTTTTTTTTCGTTATATATATTTTTATATTTATATATTTTCCTCGCTTTTTTTTTTAAATTTAATTTTTTTTAGTTTTAAATTTTTTTTTTTTTAATTTTTTCATACTTAAATTTTAATTGTAACTTATTTTTAATAAGTTTTTTATTCTTGATTTTGTCGTTTTTTTTTCCAATTTTTTAATAATTTTTTGATATTAATATTAAAATTTTATTATAGATTAAATATAATTTAGTATTATTATAATAATAAATTTATTTTAATGTATTTATATAATTTTTTTTTTAATATAATAATTTGCTTTTAAGTTTTTTTTTATTTGTTTGTTTGTGTTAAAGTTCCTAGTGTTTATATTTTTTTAATATGTGTGTATGTATTTATTTATGTATATATATTATTTATATAATATCGCTATAAATTAATAATGTTAATTTATTTGTAAACTTAATTATATAATATTTATATTAAAATTATATTGTAATTATATAATACTAAATATTAAAATCTAATTAACTCTTAAAAAACTACAATTAGCATAATGAATGTTTTTTTTTTTAACTCTGTAATGCATTTTTTAATGCCTTTTTTTCATTTAAAAGTCATTAATGTATTATTTATATAATAATTATTATATGCTCATAATGTACATATTAAGTATATTATACATATATATTATATAAGTATATATAATGTATATATAATTCTATTTTAAAATATATTGTTGTATATAATTTTTGTGTAAGTAAAATCAATTTTATTATAACTATTTTTGTTTTTCATATAATGTGATCTTAAACTATAATGTTTATAAGTTCGGACATTGCTTTAAAGAAAATTATAGCAAATAAAACAAAGAAAAAAGTTTTAAAGTCAAATTGCCGAATTCTGTTAAAATTTATTAATATTAATGATTAATGACTTATATGATTATGTATGTATGTCGTACAAATTCACAAATTTTTTAAGGCGGCGACATACAAGAAAAATTTTTTATGAAGTTGCTGTATTTCATTAATGTTTACTTGTACCCAAAGTTTTAAACAAGTAAAAATGTTTCAAACAATTTTAACCGACTAACAGAATTATAACCAACAATTCGGTATTCTGACTTAATATTAGCTTTTATGGGTTATATAGCAACTACCCATTCATAGGGATGTGTCTGACAAATAATTGTGCACGTGATTTTCTAGTGCCATAATTCTAATTTTGTATTGCTTATTCGAATATTTAAAATAAACTCTTGGAGCTATATGGCAGGTACCCGAACCCGTCAAGGTATTCCACAAAAAACTCCAGAATACATCGGGGTTATACTTGGACATTTGATTCTTAAATTTTACATTTTTTTATAGGGTTTGTTTTTTTTTAGTTTTTCATAAGTTTAATATTAGCTTTTAGGGTTCTATAGCAGCTATCCAAACAAGTACAGCCATTCCAATAAAATTTTCGGAATATATGTATATAGTATATAACACACTATAACAAAATTTTATATACAAAAAATATTTTTATAATAATTTGAAATATTTAAAATGATCGATTGGTATTGTATGGCAGCTACCCAAACCCCGTTGCTCGAATTGGTTCAATTACGACAGCAGCCACCCTTAATTGAGAGAAAATAAAATATTTGTGGAATTCGGTTGGGATTTGCTTTATTTAGTTTTGATCGTGCTTTCGGACAGACGTACAGACGGATTGAAAAAATTTATTTTGAACCTCTACAATTATAGATTATTTTGAGAAATGCGGCCATAATTACTGTTTAAACTTGATTGAAATAATTTTTGGTATAATTTGTGCTTTCTCGTAATCTGTTCAAGTTTCTGATCGTGACTTTGGCAATCATCAATAAAACTTTTTCTTTTATTTTAATGCTTCATTTTTCTTTGTAATTAAATTTTCTTTTTTTTTTAAATTTATTTAATAATGGCATTCATTGTTCAATTTTATTATTATTGTTATTACACAATTTTTTTTTTTAAATTAATAATTATTTTATGTTCAAATAATTTCATTTTTACTGTTTAAAGTAAATTGTTGTGTTTTTTTTTTTGATTTTTTTAATATTTTTTAAATTATATTAAATTTTTATTTTTCTATGTTTTTGTCACATTTTATAGCTGTTCTTCAAATTTATTTAATTTTTTTGTTTTATTTTTCTATTTACAATAAATTTTAAAAGCATAATTTCAGATTTTTTTTTATTTAAATAATTTTTATATTTTTTTATTAATTGTTTTGTTTTCTAGTATTGCATTAATAAATGAATATATAAAATAATTTATTTTACCTCAATTTTTAAAGTATTTCGGCTTTTTTTATTTTCTATAGTTAAAAAAAGAGGATAGAATTAATTCAATTTTAAATTCTCTTTTTGGGTTTTATTAAAATTTAATTTAATTATAAATATTATTAATAAAGATAATTAAATTGAAAAAAAAAAAGGTTTTTAAATGAAAGGACGATATGATGAAAATGAATTGAAAATTTATAATGGGTCAGTTCAAAACAACAGAAATTTTTTTTGTGTATAGTTTTGGGAGCATGTTGCGAAGCATTTACGGAGTTCCATTAAATTTAATAAATTGAAGTTTTTGATTTAAATGAAGTGAAAGAAGAATAATAAGAGGACAAACTTCTTTTACTAGGTATACAGGGTGCCTCATAAATGGACAAGAATTTTGTATGGAGACGATGTTCACTGTTCAACAGGTTCGGAATTACAGAGACGTAAAGTCAATCCCGACTGATTTTTTTACTTTCTGAAATTTTAAGTATGATTTCGTGCCTGTGTGAAACAGACGCATTATTAAAAAAAATTTGGAAACTTTAGAAAAAGAATTGAATATCTACATTAGTTATAATTAGTACAGAACTCGGAACCGCATGGTATGAGGCCACTATGCTATTAGACACCCTGTATTTATAAGTAAACATTTCGTGGGACAAGCAAATATAAATTCTGTATAAAATTGATTCAAATAAAACAAAAATTGGCTGAAAAATTGTAAAATGGTTCCGGTAAATTTTTGGAGATTTTGAAAATTTAATTGTCAAAGTTAAAATTGTGTGAAAAAATTAAAAGTTTCAAGCATTTGGATCAGTAAAATTTCAGTAAAAATAATTGCTAATTTTTAAAATTCGAAATTCTTTTGGATTTTTTTTTCGAAAATGAATTTTTTTCAAAAGTTAATTTAATTATTAAATAACATAACATTTTGAGGTACAAAATATCTAAGAAACGGGAAAAGAATTGAATAATCTGCAGAAGTAAAATTGTTGCTACAAGCAATAAAAATACTTTATTCACCGTTTGATTATTCTGCCAAAATTTGATCGATGTGTGTAACAACTGATTGTTTTCTCAGCTTCAATTTCGTTTCGAAATAATTTCGAACTTAATTATGCTGTTATAAAACATTTTTTGAAAACACGTTCAATTTTTATGTTATTTCTCAATCGTTTGATCTATGTTTAATCGAAATTTAATCAATGTACCTCATTGAGTTACCATAGTTATAGACAGAAGTATATATGAGTTTTAGACCACACAATTGTTTCAATTTATTTTAATCAATTCACAATCATCTTGCCGAAATTAGAATACGAGTATACAAATTTCTATAAAACATAATCGCTTCATTTTTGATAACTGTTATACATTTTTAAATTTTAATTTTTAAGTATGTACTTACATTTAAGGTTCCTTAAAAGCCAGGTTATTACTTTCATTTTGCTTTTTTTTTTTTTATTTCGGATAATTTATACGCTGCTTTTGTTTTATTTCATAATTTCTTAATTTTATTTATTTAAAAACCGATTTTCTTTTTTACATTAAAATTGCATTTTTTTTTTGTGTTTTTGATTTTTTTTAAATTATTATAATTATTATTTAAAAACTACTTTATTCCTATTTAATCGGATTGCACTTGAGATCATCGCAGAATAGCCATTTCATTTTCTAAATAATTTAAGTTTTATGTATGTGTGTAAATATAAATATTATGTATACAAGTATTAATTTGTTTACTCTATATTGGTTATAATACAAGATTTATTAATTATTTATATTTGTGTATAACACTATAATATTATTTTCTTTTATACACAATATTATTCTTTTATATTATATTATATGTATATTTATTCTTATTAGAATAGATTTTTGTATACCTATGCATATATATCTATGTATTTATAATATTTTAACTATAATTAAGTTGCACTACCAAATAAAACTGGATTTTTATAATATCCAGGTTGTCGGTCCTGTAAAGGACTTTTAACATCACGTTCAGAATTTTGCTGTCTAGCTTTACGTTCCATTTCAATTTCTTGAGCTAATGATTCTGTATAAGAATAAAGAATTTTTTTTAATATAGGGAAATGTTAAAATTTTGTAGTATAGCAGTTTTTGCTAAATGAGTATAATAAATTATAGTCAAAAGTTGTATCGTAATGGCAAACATTTGATAAAACAAGAGCTTCTTAACTGGCTCGAGGCACTTAATGCTATCATAAAAATGAATAAGAAATGTAAGAATGAGAATGATAAAAATGAAAGAAGAATGAGAATGAAGTGAACATCACAGAATATTAGTAATTTAGACTAGTAATTTAGATCTCTGGCTTAATTTAGAATATTCTTTATTTAACAGATACTTAAAATATAACTTAATAAGACCAGAGAAATGAGATTAAAGTAGAGTAAATCATAAAACCTTAATTGAAATCTTTGAAATCAATCACAAATCACGTAAATAAAAATATTTGAAATTGAATTACATTAATTCAATAACATGTATAGGGAAATTTCTTCATTTAGGTGTTTTTAAATTCAAATATGTTATGCCTTTAAATATGATTCTTACTAACACAGTTTTCATCCTCCTATTCCTAAATTTATATATGCAAAATAATAACTTTCTCACCTGAATAATTTTGCCAAAATGCACCTGTTGTCATGAGATCAATACCAGGATAATTCCATGATTTTCCATTATTATTAGCAGAATTAATGCTACCATTTCCACTAATATTTGGATTACCAGCAGTACTACCACTAGCACCATTTCCACTACCAATTGCATTGATATCGTGTGGACCACCAACTGATGATGGTCGATGATTACTATTATTATTATTATTATTGTTATTATTATTAATTCCATCACGATCTATATTACTAGTAGTATTAGTTGTTGTTGTACCGGTAGTTGTATTACATGAACTATTTCTATCATCACGATCTCTTCTATCTCGATTTTCGCGATCATTTGAATTTCTATCAGATAAATTATCTCTTTGATGATTAAGACTAAGATTGGAAGGACTTTCAGATGATCTTCTATGTTGATTTTTATTATCATGATTATTGGACGATGATGATGATGATGAATGACTAATTTTATCTGATTTTTCTCCACAATTATTAGTTTTATCACCTTCCGCATCTGTAATAGATAAAGAAAGAAAAAAAAAAACAAATAGGGAAAAAAGAAAATTTTAAAATAAAAATTGGATTTGTTGTATTAAAAATTATTTTGTTGTAGTAAAAATTATTTAAAAAATTTGGTTGCAAAACCCAAACAAAAACCAAGATTTCTAAAAAAATTTTACTGATTGAAAAAGAAAATAAAGTTTACCTTGACTATTTTTATTTTGTTCAGATGATCCATCATTATTACTTCCTTTTCGTTTCCCTTCAATTCTTTGTTGCAATCGAATTCGAAGTTTTCTTTCTCTTCGATAACGTTTTTGATATAAAACTGTAATTATTTAAAAATCAAGAAAAAAAAATTATTTGAATTTAAATCAATTTGAATAAGAACTTGGAATTTTCAAAAATTTGGAGAAAACTTCAATAATTTTTAATGGAAATTTCTAAAATTTATCCATAATTCAATTAAACAGATTTTAATTCGAGCACTTTCAAAGAATTCGATTTTGAAGAAAATCCTTCCGAATTATATATAAATTTGAATACTAAGAATTCAAAAAATATGCTAATATCTCGATTTAGGCGGTTTTGCTTTCAGAAATTTACTCTTAATTTATACATACATAAATGACTCATTTAGCATACTCGTAATTAAATTATAGTCAATTCCTTAACGGCGTCAATATTATTATACAACTTTGCTCATATATCTACATTATATCGCACGAATGCAATTTAAAAAAAATTATATTAAAAGTAAATTAAAATATTTTAATTCAAAAAATCAACTGCCAATACAAAAACATGCAAAAATAATCGACAATAACAATGTGACAAAAAAATTTTTATGGCAACAAAAAAAAGCAAAAACATACAGCACTTTTTTTAATGCTATCATCACTGCGACTGTTCCAATTCTTTTTAAATATTTTTTATTCTATTTTTTTTTATATATTTAAATTATAACTCCTTTTATCATACAATATGTATATATTTTTACAAATAATATGAAATTTAATATTTATATCGAACGAACAAAAAAAAAATTTCTCTTTATTATTTTTCATTTCAATAAACTGGAAACCAACATGAAAATATTAAAATTCTTAAAAATTGTAGGCAAAAAACAAAAAACAAAAAAATAATGTCTTTTTAACATTTTTAGCTACAAAAATAAAAACATGGATCATAAATACAGGAATAACTGAAAAACATTGCATTTACAGACATATTAAGTATCTTTATCGTATAATTTTTTTTCGATATTTAATAATACATGGGTAGTTTAAAAAGTATTCGATTTAAAATATAAAGCATTCACTGAATGCAATTTTTACCGATTTTTTCAATTAATTTATTTAAAAATTGTTGTTAATGTCAATTTTGTCCAAAAACTCTGCCAAAATCCAAGAGAACAACACCTTCATTACAAGAGCCTGCTACGTTTAATTGTGATTATTTAAGGCTCTATATATTAATTATAAATTTGAAATCTTTTTGAGTTTTTGAATGATGCACTATAAATTTTTTGTGCAGTTGCAACTTACAATTTAATTAATTTTGGTTAAGGACTTAAACTTTGCCAATAATTTCAAGTTAAAAGAAAATTTCTTAAGTTGAGATTGTTCAATTGCAATGTATGTCTTAAAATTTTTAGTCTGTAACAGTAGTTTTCAAATAAAACTGAGAAAATAAATTTTTTCGTATATAACATCGGCAATCAAACAGAATATTCTAAAAGTATTCTTTAGAAATTTTTTGATATTTATCAATCAAATCATTAAATTGCTACCAAATTATCCTTATCACTCGGTTGGCTAACCATGCCCGCTAAACTATTTTATCAAAATGAAAAAAAAATTGTTATAAAAGGTAATTCAAAAAGAAAAATCTACATTATTCATGAGATAGAAAATTTTACCAATACATTTAAATTTTTGTAAGGTTATCGCTTGTTCCAAAAATTTTATGCCATCGTGTGGGTTTTGAATTTTATTACCTAAAAATTATTTAATATTTGATTCCGTATTAACCGTTTGAGTGCCAAAAATTTGCATATCTTTACCTCAAAATGCCGTGTAAAAAATGACTTTTTTAAAAAAAAAACATTTTCTAAAAACTTCTAAATTTTTATCGATAATTAAATAATTAACCGATTTTCTTGATTTTTTCCGTGTTTTTTTTGAAGAATTGTAGTAGTTATTGAAATAAAGTAAACAATATAATGAACACAATATTTTATTTAGAAAAAAAAGAAAAAAAAAACACGAAATAAAAAAAATTAACAATTTTGTTTTCCTGAACATTCGGTGTGCATCCCTTTCTTACACCGAATGCACATCCATGTTGCTCGACGTAGTCCCGCACCATCCTTGTGACAGCGACACATCATTACTTTGGTCAATATAATCATCACTCGAACTATCACAAGTTTCGGACGAGAAACTTCGCGAAGTATTTGACCGCGACATTTTACGTATAAGAATCGTTGAATATCAATAAAATAAAATATTATTTGCAAAAAAATATCTACTTCAAAGAATAACACGAGTTAGGTTTACAGTGTGAAGAAAAAACACGGCCAGTAAATCCGTACTGTACGCGGGAGCGTGTGTGGGAAGTGACGCCTACGTAATCGCCGATTATCGACGATCGGCACTTTTCGGGAACATTCGATTCGACGAAAATCGACGATCGGCACTCTAACGGTTAAATTCATTATAAAATATAGGGCAGTTAACAACTAGAAGAGGGTGTTTGCAATGATAAATTCAATTCCAGAATTTCAATTTCGCACAATATTCTTAATCGAGTTCAAACTTTACCGATAACTTATCTTAATTCATTTTTTATGTTTTATCGAATAATTATTTTTTAATCTGAAATTTTTTTAAATCACCTCCTTAAACATAATACAATATATTGGCAAAATATGTATTTGTGTATTTGCAATAATAAAAAGAGCAGTAAGAAAGAAAAACAAAAAAGGTAATCATCAGAAATCATTCAACAAAAATCATTGAACTGAGATTCCTTTCTGCGGGTGGGCATACGAATCACACACAATATAATTTTTTCGACCCTGATTGTTATTATTTTCTTATGATTTTTTTTTTTCGTTTCATTCTCTTATTGTACTTTTCTTAACTGTTGTTCTTTTTTCAAGCAAATAACAGCAAAATTATTAAATTTATAAAATATACACATACTTATATAATTATAAAGATTGTATATCTCAAAAAGATATTAAATTATTAAAAATATCTTCTTTCATATTTTAAAATAATATTGAAGAACCAAAAAAACAAAATGCCATCAAATTATATAACAATATGAAACACAGGGAAAAAATCTGCAAAGAACCAACTGCTGTTTATGTTACGGCTGTTATACTACTATTGTTCTGTTAGTTTTGTATTTTGCTCAATAATATTACTGTTGTTTTAAAAAATTTTATGTATTTCAAATAATTGTTTTTTTTTTATTGTTTTTATAGTTTATTCCTTGCAAAAATCATTCAATGTTCATTGAAGTGAATCAATAAAATACGAAAATTTTTTCAAATTAAAAAAAAAATGTTCAAAGATACTCGTAAAAATTACAAAATCATCATTTCACCTTAATTTATTTCATACATTCCAAAAAAACCGAAAAACGAACAAAATAAAAGGCAACAATACCATTAATGGACAATAATTAATATGAAATGAAATCAATATGAGAAGTCAACCTATTAGCTACATAAACCTATACCTACACACGAGACCTGAAATATTTAAGGAATCAAAGAAATAATAAAATGAGAAAAGAAAAAAAACAAAAACAAAATTAAGGAATGAAGGGCATAAAACAAGTAGCCAGAATTTATGTAAATCGAAATCAATAATAAAAAAAAAAAACAAATATTTTAAAATAATCAAAAAATTGATCAAAAACAGTGGAAAAAATAAAATGAAATGAAAATTTCAATTTACAATTCAATAAATAGTCGGATTAAATCAAGATGAAAAGATAAATTTTAAATATATAGCACAGTATGTAGGTATTTAAGATTTGTTTTATTAATTTTATTTTGTTATTTTTAATTGTCACCATAAGTATCTGACACAGTACGAGTATAAGGAATCGATCTGTTATATTGTTTTTCAAACTTGAATTTAAAAGTTTCAACAATTCTTTTTAATTTTCAGAATGCTGGTAGCTTGATTTTTCTAGAAATTAAAGAAGGTAATATTGACTAATAGGAAAATTTTATTTGTGAAAATTTTTAAGTTCCATAATGCAGTATTATATGATTTTCACCTAGATCCAAGCTGAAGTTGGGACTTAATTAAAATACTTGTAATAATAATTGATCTCAATACTGATGTTTCGTTTTGTGAAACAATACTTGTAATAGAAAACATTTCTAATTTAATGTCATTCAACTTCTCGACCGATTACTTATGAATGATGTCAATCATTCTGTAGGTGTTTCTGTCTGAACTCATTTGAAGTTTTCTTTAAGATATTTTTTGTTTTCATAGTGTTTGTACACCCAATATGTTTTATAAGTGCATAGCTTTCACGTTTTTATGTATTCGTCTTAAGTCATACCGTGTTAACCTGCTCACCTATCGATCTTCTGTGTAGATTTTAACACTTCTAGACACTTGTAGATTTTTTAGAAAGGCTTTTCTTGTTTCCGTCTTTAATTTACAAGTTAAGGCTGATAATTTCATCAATATATTTATGGTTCTTTTAAATTTTGTTCTCCTCCTAACTGTATGCATTATGGAAACATAATATCATTTAAAGAAAATGGTGTTCCTACAGAAATGGGATAACATTTTTAAGTAAAAAGGATGTGTTTTGACCAGGCTAAGCAAAATGTGCTACCACAAAAACTATGAGTTTAGTACGAATTTGTTTTTACGGCAAACAAAATATGTCACTTATAAGTTAAGCCGAATTGGATTTTAAAACCTATAACAATTTCTATTATAAATTTATTGCGAATCTTAAAAAGTTTTGATACTTTATAAGACATAATCGATTTACATTCGCTACAAAAAATGAATTTCTATGTATGTATATCTAAATAAGAAAGATTAATGAAATCGAATTTTATTAAAAAAAAAAAACAAAAAAAAAATAAAAATTTCCTTAAATTTTAAAAAAATTGCAGGCATTTACCTGTTTTGCTACTTCTGTTTTAACTGGTTTTCTCTTTTTCGCTTTATTTTTTTATTATTTTCAGCATTTGAAGAACTGACAGACGCAAAAAAAATTAGTCCGAGTGAATGTAAATTGAAATTCGATATTCTCTTTTTTTCCTCTTTATTTTTCTAGATTTTATTTTATTTCTTGACAGGTACAGACAGTACTCAGTTTTTTTTGACAAGTATAGACAGCATATTGTACCTTTTTTTCTTAGCATTTTAAAAACAAATTGGAAAAAAATTAATATTTTAGCAAAAAAACAAGAAAAACGCAACATTTTGGATCAGGTCTACCGGTTTAAAGTTGAAAATTCAATTGAAGAGAATTTGATACGAATAATTTTTTCATTCAACTTGATTAGTTACAAATTAGTGTGTTCATAAAGGAATGAAAAAAAAATCGTAAGGAAAACTATATAAACGACATTCAAAAATTATGAAAAAAAATTGGTTTTAGTTGCTTACTGTAAGTTTTGAAAGAATTGTGTATCTTCAATTATTTTGTTAATGATTCATAAGAACAGCTTATAAAATGGATAAAAATTTGAATAAAAGAAAGAACTCACCTCTTAATTTCCGCTCTTCAACCAATTGTCTCTCAAGAGAATCTTTAACTTCTCTTTCACGTAGAACATCCATTTTCAGTTCAGCTTTAAAGTAAAAGAAGAGTTAATAAAATTAAAAATTATTCAAAGTTTATATTTATATAAAAACAAATTTGCAGGCTTTCAATATAAATAATTAGATGGAAAAAAAAATTACAACGAGAAAAAAAAAGAGTTAACCTTGTCAACTCTGTGATACCCGCACAAATTTGTTATCCTATGTGCCAATAAAGATGCCATAACTATGGGGCAGACTATGACTTTAAGTTGCTGTATTACCATATTAATTTATGCAAAATTACTATGTGTTTTTCAAAATACTGTGTGTGCCAAACTACTATTGAAGTTGTATGGCGGCCACCAGAAAGAGCTAAACAATTTCAATGACTTTTATCAAACACATTGGCCCTACTAATGTATTCGCTTGTGTGGAATTTCAATACCATAGCTTGTATAGTGCTTGAGATATAACCAAATAACTTTTGAAGTTGTATGGCAAGTACCAGAAGGAGCCAAGCAATTTCAACGACTCTTATGAGAAATATTGGCACTACTAATATATTCGTTTTTGTGAAATTTCAATACCACAGCTTTTATTGTTTCTGAGATATAACAAAATAAATTTTGAAGTTCTATGGCAGCTACCCGAACTGGTACCCCGATCATATCCAATTTAAATAGGGTTCTGGCACTTACTATAATGAATCATTTGTGAAAATTTGGTGAACTTAGCTCAATTAGTTTTTGAGTTATCGTTGAGACGGACAGACGGACGGACGGACAGACAAAGCTAAATCAACTCAGAATTTGACGCTGATCAAAAACATGCACTTGAGTCTATACCTAAGACCGTTCTTTCTTAGCATTACAAACGGTAAGGCAAATTTAGTATACCCTTCGAACATACTTTCGTACGGGTATAAAAACGGAAGATACTCTAAGAAAAAATAAGAGTGGAGAGGCCGCTAATTGAGTAGTTGCCTCTACAGCGGTTGTTAATCATACGAAACAAATTGTAAAATTTAAAAAAAAAGCATTTTAGAGTTCTATATTTTCATTGTACTTACCTTTTTCATAAGTTATTTGCCTTTCTTGTTGTCTTGCATTATCAGCAGCTACTTTTAATAAACTTTGAATATTTCTCAGCAATGTTTCTGTTGATGAAGCACCTTGTTGATCTGGATGATCAATATCATTTGGTAATGGTATACTATTATTGGGATTATTTGCAGCAGCAGCAACAGCACTTGCTGCTGCTAAACTTGAATAATTAATTGCACGATGATGAGCTGCAGCTGCTAATGCAGCTTGTTCAGCTGATGATGTGTTTACTGGGGGTAATGGCGGTATTGTTGCAGGCGGTTGATTTAATTCTCTTTCTTCTGTATCACTTAAATCTGATTTAATGGAAAAATTTTTGATTAACATTATTTTACAAATAATTTTTGTTTTAAATTCTTTACCATCATCTTTATCAATTCTACCATCATCTTCACTAACATTATCATCTGTAATATTATCAGCTTCATCTTCTCTAACAGATGGTGCTGGTAAAGGTGAATGTTGTCCATCACTTCTATCACTACGATCATCACCACAATTACTAATATTGTCATCTGGATCGGCTCCATTTTTAGATAAATTAAGTACAGGACTTTGTCGATTTGGTGAACCTATACATAATAAAATCAATTTATGTAATTCGTGTTTACATAATATAGGTATTTAGGTAATTATTATAAAAATTTACCATTTCTCGAACTAAGATCTCTTGGTTTTTGATCATTGACTGATGGTGGTCTTCCATCATCTGTTCTTTCTTCTCTCAGTCTATAGTTTCTACATAATAATAGCGCGAATAAATATTAAAAAATACTTGATAAAAAGAGTTTTACTAACCTTTCCAAATGTTTAACAATATCTTCATAAGCAGCTCTACAATTTTCCCAAATACCGGAACGTGCAATAGCATCCATTCCAGCTGCTGACATACCAGCTGCACCAGCTGCTTGTGCTGCTGCTTTCATCATTGAACCATCTGGTCTATGTAATCCATGTGGTGGTAACGCTGGATTCATTAATGCTGAACCAGGATGATGATTCATTTGCATAAATGCCATATGATTTATTGGTGGTGGATTGTAGCCATTTGCTAATAGTGGTGATTTATCCATTCTTGCAATATCTGCACAAAATTTTAATCAAAAGTCATTTTTGTTTTTTTAATAACATTTAGGAAATCAGTAAAACAGTAGCAAATCATTTTAATTAAAACCATTATTCTTTTAATATTTTTTTATTATCTTTTTTATCAACTGTTATAATCTTAATAGGTTTTTAGTCTAATTTTTTTTCGGTTTATTTTAATATTTTATATTAAAATTTTTATTATTTTTGTTTTAATATTTTAACGTAGTTACATAGCAAATCATATATGAATATATCGTGCTTATGGTAGAGTCAAAATTAATAAATATATACTTAATCGGTGATATCTAAAACTTGTAATTACGCGCAATTAGTCAATTTTAGATAAATTTAAGAGGACAAAGATAAAAAAGAAATAGCAACATTTCAAAGCCCACGTTCGATTTTAATATAAAAAAGTTTTTTAAACCAAAATATATTTACAATGTTATAGAAGTACAGTGAAAATTTATTATATTCGTTGTTGAACTAAAATTAATTTTTAATTTTTTCTGATTTACTTCATCAATATTTTAATAAAAAACAGTTGGCAGGTATATCTATTAGGGTAAACGCTATTGCTAGATATGCATAGAATTTATTTTAATGATGATTGGGAGATTTTGTTTGTATTGAATCAATGACATCTAGCTACTGTACGAAAATAAAAATACTAAAATTAAGTATGAAGTCAATTCTGATCTTATAAGGTAGAGGCATCCATACTAATACACCTTGAAATTAATGGAAGAAAGACCCGTTAAAAGCTTAACTTAAGACAAAAACTAACTTAAGAGAGCCAATCATTCGATTAGGAGGCCGAAACAAAATGCTCAATGAAGATCACTGGACTGGAACTCTCAAGATTTTACTTTCATTAAGCAGATGCTTAGACTAAAAAAAAGGAGTAACATTTCGGTATAAAACAAATTAGGATCCTATTTTGTTGTACACAGCGCACATAATAATATTTGGGAAACTCCTAAAATGAGTAGAAAAGAACCTTGAATCAATTATAAATTTTATTCTGTACTATGAAAATTTTAACCTATGGTTTCCAAAATTTTCATTAACTTATAGTTTTTCGCTATTTCTCTTATATGTACTCAACATTATATTGAGTTGAGTTTAATTTAAGAAAATTATTACAGGGTTTAACAGACTAAATATTATATACTTTTGATTTACTGGAACAAATTTTAAACTTTTTTATAATAAATGAATTTAAGATAAATATCATATAACTAAATTTACGGTATATCGAAATAAAAATTATAAATATTGATATCTGATATTGAATATCTAAATATTTTTAAAAAAGGCATAATAAAACTTCAATATACAGAATACATTATGTATGCAATGTTGTAACATGTAGTATATGATGAATATACTTGCATGCATATGAAATCTCATTAATCTTCTATAACCCGAATATAATTGCAATTATCTTGTTAGACACACCACAAAAGTTGATTACTGCGCTATAATAGTAATATATTTTTTGTTTTATATTGAAAACTGTTAAAATATTTTTCAACTCATGTTATTTATGTATGGCTGTAATCACATGGCTGTAATAACATATACAATTTGTGTGGCTGTATTATACGTACAAACACACAAATCTGTGATTCTATGTTAAAAATAAAATTTTTAAATTATTTATTTTATTGGAAAGTAAAACAAAAACGCTATAAATTTGATAGTCTTATTTTAAATTATTAAAAAGTTGTGCCTTTTCATTTCTTTTTTACTTTTTAAATTGTTTATAGCACAATATTCATGTGTTATGTACCTATGTTAGGTATAGGTAACATTTTATGCCTTTACAATTGAAAATATAATCACAAAGATCAAATGATGATCATAGGATATAGTTCAATAAATCTAAGTTAGAATAAGTGTATACAAAAACAATATACAAAATATATAGATAAACATCTCATGAAAATAAAAATAAAATTATTGCTCTCTATGCGAAAACTTATAATCAAATTATTGAAACCTAAATTAGAATACAAAAAAAAAAAAAGAAGCATTCCACCTAATTGCAAGATGCTTGTACATATCAAATTGGGAAATTTTATTAAATCGGAAGAAAGAACGCATTCCAAAATACTATTGAATTTTTGTCACTAATTTTAACTATACGAGTACAACCATTATTTATTTAGATTTCCGATCAACAACCGTACGTTGAGAAATTTCTAGAAAAGAGCTCACGACACTGTCGAATTAAGCCTGCATAATGCTGTGTGAATACTTCTAAAGATAACAAAAGTCAAGTCTAAGTAGTAGACAATGCAAACGTTTGCTGGTCTAAAATCGCATATACTCTTGTTTTGCATTAAATATTGAAAAATTATAAACTTATTTATTTATTGATATTACAAATATAAATTAAAACTTTAAATGTCACTTAAATTTTGAGAGTTTTGTAAAGAAAACTTGTTATTTCAAGTTTCATTTATACCTTAGTAAATACATAAATTTTTTATTTTCTCTTGACCTAAACTATTATAGGGCAAATTTACTAAATCAAAGGTTAATTCAGTGATCGAGATTAGTTTCTTGAAATTATATGTAATCTAATATTGATTGTAAACATTTTACACAATAAATTGTAATTTAGCACTGCATCGAAAAAGAGAGAAGTGACATACACAAAAGTGGCTGGACAGCGTCTCAAGTTCTTAGTAATGAGATTGATGAGAATTATTTTAATATTATATTCAATATTAAAGAAAATCTTCCAGAATATTAAAGCGTAAGTTCCCTAAAAAAAATTTTCTACGCAACTAAATTAATAATGATAAAATGACAGCGGTCCAAAAATCATTGTAAGAAGAATCTTACCTTTTCACTTTAATATCAAACCAAACGAACAAAACAAAAAAAAAAAAGAAAAAGCAAAACTCAACAAAAACTGTAATTACAATTTTAATTCAATTATTTTAGTATTTTATTGCTTTTCTTTAATTCTCTTACACATGTTTAAATATTAAAAATTTATGTTTAATTTGTTGTTATTTTAATTATAATACAAGCAAACTTCCACATGAGTAGAACAAAAAGCTGATGAGATAAAGGAAATTCGTATATTGTGATAATTGATTATATTGTGAGTAAAACGCCCATACAAGGTATTTCATGTATGACTCATAAACGTTATGATTATGATAAAGGAAATTGCAATAAAAAATTAATTTTTTACATGGGACTCTTGAATAAATGTTATGAAATGTGTAGATAGGCATTTAAAAAATTATTAAACAACACACAGTACTTTCTACTATATAAAAAATAAGTTTTCTTTTATATTTTTATGCAATTTAATACTTTGAAATGAAATTCGTACTTGTTCCAATCATAGATAAAATTTTGTAAGAAGAAGGAACCCCAGTATAATGGAAAACGACTGTAAGATTACATAAGAAAAAATCCTACTCATACAGTGCAAAATATAAGGAGGTATCAAAATCGTTTATAGTGTTACGAGAATTATGATCATGGCTATAAGTCTCAGCATAGTTGAGAAACTGAAAACCCCAATCAAATTGGTCTGGATGATATGCAATTACAAGAAAGCCAGATAGAGTAGGTAGAAGAATTTGGGTTCTTGGGCAGTATATACTAACAACTGATGGCGACAGGAACAAAGAATAGACGCGTCAACTTTGCCAATTACAGTTAAGTTTTGCAGTCCTCATAATTTAAAAAAAAAACAACAGATTGCTTCCCAATTTATGCAAAGTTTATTACATGATGTAGAATATTTTCATTTTTTATAATTAAGGTTGAATTTTTTACACTTATGTTTACAAATTTGAGTTACTTCGTTTTAAGAAGTGTCCAATTTAGTCTTTTTGGTTGGTTGACGTAGCCAATGTGGCAGTTTTACCGAACTCTAAATAACACAAATATCTCTTTTTGCTATACCACTATCTCGGGATTACAAGGCCATCATTTGGTCTACGTTTACAGGTGGCGTATCAGAGCCACTCAATCCTCTTCGAGGAATCGAACTAAATCTCCGATGCTAATCTCGATATCTTGTCCAGCTCCGCAATATTTTCTTTCTCCCACGTAACCAGTCTGGCCTCGCTTAGAGCCGGGCACTCGAAGATATAGTGAAAAATAATCCCCTTCTTGTTAATTTCCCGGCAGCGGTGACACATCGTATTGGAATGAAATTCTAGCCTAGGCGCATGCTCCCCCAACAGCCAGAGTCCGTCGTAAACTGACGTCATGCAGGCAATGTCTCCACGAGGCCATGTTTTAACCAAATTTTTCTTACCATTTCGTATGTCTTCTTATCTTAGTAATTATCTTAGTAATTATTATCTGAGTCTATTTTAGTAATTATTATTATGTCTTTCAGTAAAAGTATCTTATTATTATGTTGAACAACCATATTTTCTTACTTCTTAATTTTTCTCTTTTGATTTATAAAAAATACAAAATTTGAAATAAAATTCATAATATTTTTTTTTGTTTTTTATTTAGAAATTCAAATAAAAATGAAAAAGTATAAAAACCCTTTAAGTTAAAAATCAATTGTAAAATATTTTCTTTTTTTTTCCAATTTATATCCTAAAGACATCAAATTAAAGAAATAAAAAGAAAATTCAAATTACAGAAAGTTAATCATCAATTCGTTATACTATAATTGTAATTGTTTTTACTACTGTTATATTGAATTTGTAAGTATAGTTGAACAAAAACAAAAGAAAAAAAAATTTTTTTGAAAACTCGAAAAATGTTGCATAAAATGCTCTAAAAAAAAAGAAGTAAAAGAATTTCGAAACCAATAATTTTCTCGAAATAAATTTAAAAAAAATTTTTATAATGACATGCTAAAAAATTATTTCTTTAAATTCACCATTTCATCTCTTCATTTTTTTTATGAAATTACTTGCACATATATACCTACATGCATATATATTAAAATTACAAATTTGTAAACTGTTTAAAAAAATTATTGTTCAGTTTGGTTATGCTTTATTCTCCGTCAAAAAGATCTTTGAACATAATTTAAAAGAGGGGTGCCTTCTTTTATATTTTTGTTTTTCTTTTGTTTTTTTTTATTGTTTTATTAAAAAGTAATAATTTTTGCAGTAAGTACAAATTTAAAAGCTGCGATAGATAAAAATATTGTGTAGCTAGTAACTTTGTCCTTTCTTACATTTTATAATTTCGAATAAATGTTAAATTTTCTCCCCTATATAAAAATATTTTTTTTTTTATTTTTTTTTTTTGATAATTTTATTATTTTAAACTTTTGAAAAAATTATGCCAATACTACTATTAAATATGCATATAATATAGGTATGTATGTATGTGTGTATGGAAATTTTATATACAAAATAATTTATAATTATTAAAAATTGAGTTTCATTTGTATTTATATTCCTATATGTATATGTATATATGTATATAGAATTTTATTAAGTACGTTATTCGACGCGTGTATACCAAAAGGGTTATATATGTACATACGATGCCATTTAATTGAAGGGTAATAATAAATTAAAACTAACTATAAATAAGATCCTTTTATATTTGCTTACTTTTTTTCATATTTTCTATATATGTCCTTAATGAAATATATAATTATGTCCTTAATACAAAAAGGGAGAGAAAAATAAAAAAAATTAAATAAAATTGTGATCACCATGTAATAATCGGCTGCTTTTATTAATATTCGCACAGATAAAATGTTTTATTGTTGTTGTTTTTTTTTGTCGTAATTCAATAATTTTTTTTTTTTTTTTTGGAATACGCATTTGTTACAATTTAAATTCTTCGCGTATTTGCAGAAATTTTTATTATTTTTGTTCAATGTATACAGAGTAGGCATACGGAAGAATAATTGGTCAGAACAAGTTAGTTGAAATATTTGAGTTTTTTGAAACTGTATCGAGTCTAACTGCAAACATTTCAGTAGATATGCAGGACGTTCCAAGTCGAAATATACTGTATACACCGTTGCATAAACGCTTAAGGAGGATTAAAATTTTTTTTTTGGAACCCAATATTGCCCACTATTCCAAATATTTTTATTTAATTTTTGAAATTTTGAGAGTAATTAATTTTTCTCTATCTTTTTATATTTTATTATATTATCACTCTGTATTTCAGTAATTTAGTGATAATATCTGTGAACTAATAATTCAATGAAATTTCAAATTTGTTTAATTGTTGCTACAAAGAAATTTTGAAAAAAAAAACATAAATTCAACAGGCTTTTTTATTGAAGTTCACAAGAAACGAAGAAGATAATTCCATAAAACATTGATTTGAAGCCCCGATAAATGCATATCATATTTCACCCCCTTAATCCATTTACAAAGTTAAATTGTTTTATGTTAAAACTTTTTTAAAGTATTTTCAATTATTGTTAACAACTGTTTCACTATTAACTATTCTTTTTAACCTAATACATACTTTAGCTATCGTTAAATAAGAATAAGAACAAAAAGCAGAAAAACAGTTAAAAACCACAAAACATAACTCTTTTTTCACAAAATAAAAAACAAAAAAAAAAACATAAGGGAGCATAAAAATAATAATACGAGTATAAGGGAGCAGAGTGCATACAATTTTTCTGTTCAATTTAGCACAATACCAAAATGAAAATAATTTTAAATTGAACACCTTTTGTAAAAATTTGCTATGTCTATATGCGGCTTGACATACTTGTTTATATTTTATTGTAATCGTCATAAAAGACGAAAAAATTAAACAAGAATAATATTCTTAACAAAATGCAAGTTATGTAGAAAAATATATGTGAGTATTAAAAAAGAAGTGGTCAAGTGAAGAAACCGAAAGAATGCAAAAGAAAAGAGAAAAGAAAATTTAAAACCTTGTAAAAATTTCGTGTTTACAGTCGATTAAAAAATTTTTATTTAATACCAAACTTTCAAGTTTGTTGTTCATTTTCATATACGAAGACGTTTTGTGTTTTACAAATTTTTATTTGTACACTACACTCATTGACGTTTTGTAAATAACTTACCTTTATAACGATATTCCTTTTGTTACGGCTTATAATAACAGAATTAATCCGAGAGAAATAATTTTTTTTTTGTTTGTAAAAAGGGCTGATTTTATTGTTTATATTTTAAGTAAAAAATTCTTTTCAAAATAATTACATTTATGATTTATAAGAATCAAATTTAATATTTCACATAACATGAAAATTAAAAAAGAGAGAGAGAGAAAATTAAGGGGTGCTTTCGATCTTAAAAATGAATTTATAAAATACGTTTCAGTTTAACACAGGCTTAGAGTACATTTTATGCGATTTTAAAAGCAAGTAACCTATCATTATTTACTATAAGTCATACCGCATAGCAGAATGTGTGGTATACAAAATTTCCAATTAAGTATCCAAATAATTCATTGCAATTCATTAATATAATTAAATATTTCAATTATTACACATTTTTGGTTTTCAATTCAATTTTATTTTACTAGATTTTTAAACATCTTCTTATCACTTACTGCACAGTAAATTAATCACAAATTTATAAAAGAATCCAGTTGCACAGGGTGAACGATACACGATTGTATACCATCGAAAATACTAGAAATAATAATTAATAGTAACCTTCTTCACGAATTATTGGGCTTAATTTCTACAAAAAAGTTGAATTCACATATTTCTCCTTGAAAATCGAAAAAAAAATTCAGGTAGATTGAAATTGTCGTCACCAATTTACGAATTTCGTCTTAATTCGGCCAAGATGTGAGTCATTAAATTTGCTCTTTGCAAAAAATTCTAACAATTTTTCCTTAGACAGTTATAATAATTTACTCGTAATAAACTTAAAATCACAAAATTTATACACAACACTGGTACAACATAATTGAATTCTAAAGATTTTGTCTTAAAATTCACTCTTTAATCACTCAAGTTCAATAACATTATTAAATATTATAATAAGTACTTGTTAAATTCAATTTTATATAGTATAAGCAATATTTTTCTATAACAATAACATTTTAAGAAATAGAATAATAAATTGAATATTATTTTCAAAACAAATTTTTTTTTTTAAATTTAATGATTTTTGCTGCGAGTAATCGCCCAAAACCATGTCACGGAATCAATTTTCAGACGCCTAAAATTTCTATTTATAATTTTATTAAAGTAGGACTTAAGTATTTCAGCTTAATCAAAGTTTATAATCAAATTGAGTATTTAAATGCTTAAAAATAAAGTTTTCAAAAAAATTAAATATAATTTTGCTAATATTGTTGAGGAATTTATAACAATAATGTTGAAAAATGTTGGTTAATAATGGTTTTATTCGATTTGCATAAAAAATTTTTTCTATATTTTTCTATATACGAGTACTGGTAAGTATAATTTGCAATGAAATTTTCAAAAATATATTCGCTATATTGTTTTACAATGCTTGATTTATAATTTTACTATTTTATTGTTGAAATATATTAATAACACTATAAACACTTACCACTAATATGTCCATTTTCATAGGCGTAATCACCATTATCTAATCGATGTTTTTTCAATTGTGGATGACCAGATAAATGTGTTGGTGGTAATGATAGCCCAACAGGTCCACGTTTCGGTGGTCTACCAGGCCTATAATATATTTTTAAAAAAACAAAAATTAGAAAGTAAAATTTGAAATTTTAGCCTAAAATTAAACTAAAAATTCTTAAATTTAGTTTATATGAATTTTATTAATGTCAATCAATTATAATCAAATAATTGTGTTAATATAAAATTATACAAATATATTATTTGAAAATAATCGATACAAGTTGTTTAATCCATTGACGATCAGCAAAATTGATTGATTGAAAGTTAGAAAAAATTTCTTCATATAAAATAAAGAGAATATCAACCTTGTTTTTAGCACTTTTGCAAAAAATTTTTGAAAAAAAGTGCTTATTAATTTCACTCTGTCCGTCCGTCCGTCCGTCCGTCCGTCCGTCCGTCCGTCCGTCCGTCTGTCTGTCCGTGTGTCTGTTTACAAAACTCCTACACCCTTGAAGATAGAAAGCTGAAATTTTGTATGCACATAAATCTTTACTAGAAACTTATTTCCGTAGAACAAAATTTTCATCTATCTCCCCCCCTCTAGAATTTATAATGCACCCTAATAAACCCTTTAATGCACAATACGATAATATTTAAAAGAAAAGCAAATTTTTTTAGATTACCATTAATTTCGGATAGTTTCTTAATCCGGTGATCTTTGTAGTTTTAATGGTAACTTTAATATCTTTAAAAATAAAAACAATAAACATTATGCGTTATGTATTTAAAAGCTTAACAAGATTTCCGGTCTCATAGAGCGCCTAATATATTATTTTTTTCTATTTTAATGTTTCCTTTAGCAAATATGTACATATTAATTTTCTTTTCTCATCTTTATCTTAAAGCAAATACTGTAAATATTTTCAAATCTTATACTTTATATTGTTATATTCTGTTTACATGCTTAATTTGCTAAATACCAGTAGTTTAGAATTTCATTCTAATTTTGTTTTTTTCTATTTAAATTCTAATTTCCCTATATTTTTGTATAGCTAGATCTAAAATGCTTTCATACACATATTTACAGATTGAATAACAACAAAATAAATAAAAATTACAAATATGTGTATGATCATACAGACACTGTATATTTAATTTAATTAACAATAGATAAATTTTCATTCAGTTTTTATTAAGATAAATATATTTTAGAGTACAAAAACATGAATGTTTCTTATTTGAAAAAAAAAATAAATAAATACAAAGTTTATTGTTATCTATAGGAGATTGCTAAGTAAATAGTACAACCTCGTAATTAAAAATAAAAAATTAACTGTTTATTTATTTCTATTTGGGAGAAAAAATTTACTTTCATTTCCATATTTGAAACAAAAAAAAAAATAAATTCTGTTTACATTTTTATTATATGCAGTGATATTTTTAAACTTTACACCGCATTCGCTGATATTTGTGAATATATCGTGACTAAAATAACTTATATATCCGTATAATATTTATTCGTAAAACATTGTGTTTATGCATAAAAATATGGTGTATATTTTTGTTTTGAATATATATAAATAAATAAATATAGTTACCTACATCATAGTTTAAGTAAATAAATAAGTTAAAGTGCCACTAGTTTTATTATGATTTTTATTTAATTATGAATAAAGTGCGTTCTGAATAAATTTAAACAATAAAATTATTATTTTATAATAATTATATGCCTTTACAACATGTTCGTGTATGAGTTGCATATATTCTATGTTATTATGTTTGATTAGCATTTTCATTGTATGTTATAATAAAAGTTATACTTATAGGTGTATGTTTAAATCCAAATTCATGCATAATTTCAATATTAATCTATTTTTTCAATTGATAATAAAAACTTTTTTTTTTTTTTGTGAAATTGTGAATTGAATATTAAATTGAATGAAATAAATTCTGTTTTGATAAGTAGTATTGATATAAACTGTTATACAACTATAATTTTTACACCCGTACGAACTTATGTTCGAAAGGTTTTCTAAATTTGCCCTACCGTTTGTAACGCTGAGAAATAACGGTGTTACATATAGACTCAAGTGGATGTTTTTGATCAGAGTCGAATTCTGAGTTGATTTAGTTTTGCCTGTTCGTCTGTCCGCCCGCCCGTCCGTCCGTCCCAACGATAACTCAAAAACTAATTGAGCTAAGTTCATAAAATTTTCACAAATGACTTATTGTAGTAAGTGCCAGAACCCTATTTAAATTGGACATGATAAGGGTACCGGTTGGGGTAGCTGCCATACAACTTCAAAATTTATTTGACTATATCTCAGAAACTATAAAAGCTATGGTGTTGTTATTTCACACAAACGAATATATTAGTAGGGCTAATGTGTCTGATAAAAGTCGTTGCAATTAGATGGCTCCTTCTGGTAACCGCCATACAACTTCAAAAGTTATTTGGCTGTATCTCAGAAACTGTAAAAGCTGTAATATTGATATTTTACACAAGCGAATATATTAGTAGGGCCGATGTGATTCATAAAATTCATTAAAATTTCTTGGCTCTTTCTGGTAACTGCCGTACAACTTCAAAAGTTATTTGACTATATTTCAGAAACTATTAAAGCTATGGTATTGAAATTTCACACAAACGAATATATAAGTAGGGCCAATGTGTCTAATTAAAGTCGTTGAAATTACTTGGCTCCTTCTGGTACCTGCCATATAACTTCAAAAGTTATTTGACTATATTTCAGAAACTATTAAAGCTATGGTATTGAAATTTCACACAAACGAATATATAAGTAGGGCCAATGTCGTTGAAATTTCTTGGCTCTTTCTGGTAGCTGCCGTACAACTTCAATAGTAGTTTGGCACACAGTATTTTGAAAAACACATTGTACTGAAATTTTGCATAAATTAATATGGTAATACGGCAACTTAAAGTCATAGTCCGTCCCATAGTCAGTTAGGGCATCTGCATTTGCACATAGGATTACAAATTCGTACGGGTATCACAGAGTTGACAAGGTCAACTCTATTTTTTCTCGTTTTTATTTAAATTATGAAGCTTCATTATACGCTTATTATATTTCAAGGGGAATTAATTATAACGTGATCAATATACTGTGGTTTTAAAACCGTTTTATTTTAACTCTCTAAATTAATTGACATATATTCCAGTTAAATCTATTTTTTTAACCAAAAATAGCAATGCAACATATTTGATTGCCAACATTTTGTATGAACTTGATTTTTACTTCAGCTTGACAACGAAAAGTTGTTATCAAAGTAATTATCTACAGTTTTGCATTATTATTAATTGTTTTGAGTTCGGAAGCTAGATTTATTACACCTGAAGTTAAATTCTTCTAAAGGCCAAAAAAATATTAATTTAAATTATGAAATGTTCAAGAACTTTTTCTCGTGAAATTTAAAAAGTACGTGAATGTCAGCAATTTTCTATTTTTAATTATTCATAAACTTTTCTATTATTAAAGATGGTGTATTGTTTTGCTTTATATTTATATCATTGCTAAAAAATTTTTATATAATTTTATTTATATTCAATTTTTAATTCAAATCAATAAAATCCATAATGTTACAACAGAAGAAACCACAAAAAGTGCTTCTGTAAAGGGAACAAAACAGTAATAGCAATTCAAACAAATAAAAGAAAAAAAAAACAAAAAATAATCAAAAATTGATCCTTTTGGCGGCAAGACAGTAAAATCATAAAACAAAAACAGAAACAAAAAAAAAACAAAAATATAAAAATTACTTTTCTTCATTTAAACTGCTTACACACAAATATAGAAAGAAAATTTTAAAATAAAAAAAAAAACTCCAATAGACGGCGTGATGTTAAAACCACAAATTCATCATCAGCTATTCGGTTTCTTTTTAGAACGAATGAAATGGTTAGGGTAATGGTACAATGGTGGTAGTAAAATTTTTCTTAGCAATAATTTTATAAATTTGGACTTGTTTTAAGTTTTGTTTTTGTTCTTTGTTGTTTCTTTTTTTTATTAATTTTGTGTTCTTGGGCTATTGCACCTTAAATTGAAGGCATTTAAAATCTGATTTAATTTTGCGGTAAATTTTTTCCATATTTTTGTGTTTTTTAGTTGTTGATTCGAAATTATGCAAAATCATGCTATTTTAATTCTGTTAAAATAAACTTATATAAATATATTTAATCTGCATATTATATTTTTGTAATGTAGCGGGCTATATTTTTCTAATTTAAGAATGCATACAATTTGATTAGAACTTAAACTGGTTCAAAGATATTTTAGAAAGTTTTTATATATTATAACGCCTTATTATTGACAACGAGTTTTAAGTACATATTTAAGTTTGCGGTGAATAATAATAAGTATATTTAGAAATTCAGTGTTAATGACATTTTACCATTGAATATTCAAAAGAAATGGATTGGATTATTTATTGTAAGACAACAATTAGAAAAAACGAGAAAAAATAGAATTGACCTTGTCAATTCTGTGATACCCGTACGAATTTGTTATCCTATGTACGAATAAAGATGCCCTAACTGAATATGGGACAGACTATAACTTTAAGTTGCGTATTATCATATTAATTTATGCAAAATTTCAGTACAATGTCTTTTTCAAAATACTGTGTGCCAAGCTACTATTTAAGTTGTATGGCAGCTAGCAGAAAGAGCCAAGAAATTTTAACGAATTTTATCAAGCACATCGGCCCTACTAACATATTTGCTTGTGTGAGATTTCAATACCACAGCTTTTATAGTTTCTGAGATATAGCCAAATAAATTTTGAAGTTGTATGGCAGCTACCCGAACCGATACCCCGATCATGTCCAATTTAAATAGGGTTCTGGCACTTATTACAATAAATCATATGTGAAAATTTGGTGAACTTAGCTCAATTAGTTTTTGAGTTATCGTTGGAACGGACAGACGGACGGAAGGACAGACAAAGCTAAATGAACTCAGAATTTGACGCTGATCAAAAACATACACTTGAGTCTATATCTAAGACCGTTATTTCTTAGCGTTACAGACGGTAAGACAAATTTAGTATATCCTTCGAACATACGTTCGTACGGGTATAATGAGTCGCCGATTTGGAGCAGTTGTTATTAAAATGAATTATTGTAAAGTTAATTTGAGTGTATAATCTTAAAATCTGTGTTTTATCATATTTCGTCAATTTCCTAGTTATTTTTAACAGTAGAAGTCAGATATAGCGTACACTCAATGGACCAGCAAAAATGAACGTATTAACCGACTTTCGTTTTAACCGGTGTACAAATAAAATATATGTACCATTTACTTTTCAATTTTTATCATTGTTTTATTTACTCTTCAATTTAAAATCAAAATGAAATTTAAAATTAAATTAAAATGACAATGTTCTGACGAAAAAAAAATTGTTTTCCTACATCTCAGCTACCTACATAACAAACTAGATGTCGCATAAGTAGACGTAATCGTTGAACAATTTTATTATTACCGTTTTTGTACGCTATCATCGTTATTTGTACGCAATTTCGTTATTACTGATATACGTTATTACCAGTTTTTACTGTAATTAGTCCTTTAGTCAAGAAAAAATTGTAATTAATGTTTATAATTTATATAAGAGAATTAAATACATTGAATATGAATAAATTTATAACGAAATATTTTAAACGAAAATACATTTTGAATTTCTTCTAAAGTATCTATTGATAATCAAAATAAGTAACCAAATTTATTTTTCATGTCCTGTACCAAAACGATACTAAAATTATATTTGACATTCTTTACTAAATATATGAATATATTATTAATATACAAAATAAAATTTTCGCATACATTGAAATTCAACCAATTTTATTGTTGTATCCTATATATGAATACCAATAATTATTGAGGACAAAATTTCAAATCACCATTTTGAATTTATGACTAATATTTTATGCTAATAGTACACTAGATAACATGTATTTATTATGAAAATATATATTATACTTAGATAAATTGAATATGATATTTTCCAAATGCATTTTATCCAAGGTCCTTTTTTCACTTTATTATTTATGAATATATAACAGTTTATACATTTGTTATGTAAATTATATTATTTCCTTTTAAATGATATACCATTTTGTTAATAAATGAATTAATTTCTATGAAATATGTAAGTGTATGTTAAAATAACTGTTTTTTATTCGTTCTTACCATTTTAGATTTATGTATATATGTGAGTATATATATGGCCTATATTATATAGAAGAAGCATTCATTATATAATTTTCTATAATTTTTTATTTAATATGTGCAAATATATGAATATTGTATATAAAAGCAATATTATAAATTAAAAAAAAAAAACTATAGTTTATAAATTTATTATTGAAAATATTTTCATTTTCTAAAATACATAAATTAAAATAAATATTATAAGTAGTACAGTTTTCTATCTATATATTACTTTTAAATATTTATGTATATTAATAATTATTATTTACCTCTCAGGTGGCTTGATTGATAAGCATCTGGAATAAAAAAGAAAAAAAAAATCGACCGTTTCGTTTCAATGAAATTTTTTTTTTTTATTTTTAATTTAAAAAGAATGTTTTATAAAAAAAAATATTAAATTAATAAAAATTGATTCGAATGTTAAAATTAAATTTTTATATTTTAATGAATTTTATGTACGTTGCCAAAAAAATGAACAATTTCCGATTGAGAACTACAATTTTGGACATAAAATAAAAAAATTCAATCCATTTATTGGCTTACACTCGAATTATATAATAGTTTAAACAATACATTTGAATTTATCTAACGTTAGGTGCATGAAAGCAGAGATGGTTTATTTATATGAGAATACTCATTAAGTTGTGAGTGTCTCGAAACTAGTTATGAGTCGCTCAAAAATTAAGCTAACGTGATTATTTCCAAAAAATAGTATATTTGAAGTTAATAATGAAAAATTAATAAACCCTTATTACCTCAATTTTTTAATCAATTTCAATTTTTATATTTATAGAATTTTCCAAACCCCATACAGTAATTTTGAAACCAATTTTAGTAAGCGCAAATATTTTATGTTTCTTTGTTCATAAAATACACATAATTCTAATTTTAAACATTTAAAATAATTTGTTTAGAAAAATCATTCAGTGTATGTTTCTAAAGAGATTTTCAGTATATAAAACTTTTAAGCTACTTTAAGTTTTTCAAGTTGTAGAGGAAATTTCCAACGAAAAGGTTCCGATACCCTGCTTGTTAGGATAAAAATGGTCTATAATTCGGAAAACTCTTATTTAGATTTCAATGTTTAAGTTTTATTAAAAGACATTAATTTGGCTTCTCAAAATTTCTTTAATTACGGAACAAATGCAACTTGAATCGTCCAATCGATAATTTCATTTTGTTAAATTAATTTTAACATTCGAATTTTTTTTAAGAGAAAAATTCATAATTTATTAATTATATTTTATTTAGAAAAAAAAATATTAAAGAAAAAAAGTTTAATAATTATTTTATAAAAATCTAAAAGAATAATTTTTTTTGCATAAAAAAATTTAACAAAAAAAAACAAAATAAATATTTTTTTTTTATTTTTTTTTTTAAATGTAATAAATTTAATTTATATTTTTTTCATTTTTGGTTTATTTGAGAGTCGAATACAATAAACGGTGCCCTAAAGTTAAATATAATATAATTTGTTTTTTTTATTCAATTTAAAATTTAATATATAAATAATATTAAAACAAAATTTAAAAAAAAACCTCTTTTATTCCAAATGATATTTTAAATTAATAATAAAATATTACATAATATAAGTATATTAAAAAAATTAAATTAAATAGTAAGAGAGTACAAAAATTAATAACTGAATTATAATGAAAATGAAAATATTTAAATAATGTAAAATTAGTATTGAAAATGTAATTTTTATAAATGAATAGTTTCAAATAAACTGAAAAATAAATTAAATTTTATTTAACAAAAGTACAAAAATTAAGTATAAATAAGAAATAATGAAATATAATTTTAAATAAGTTTGTAGAAAATTAAAATTTGCATTTCAAAAATAAATTACAATACATAGATTTTTATTTAGAGCAAAGAGTGAATTTTAATTCAATACAATAATAACCAATACAATACATCCAAAAGTAATGATTCCGGCACAGCTACTCGTATCACAGGAAAAAGTAAAACACAATAAAGAAGTGTAAAAGAATTGCAGTAAGTCTTAAGCTAATTTCTCTTCACGGAAAAGTGCCTTGAGATAAAATATAGGGAAATAGAAATTTTGAGAATAACTAATTAAGTGTGTTTTAATTAACAGTATGGAGATGGAGAGTAGGTAGTCTACAAAAAAACCTATTACAAGAATCAATAAGGAAGTAGTTTATTTATTCGATTTTTCGGTATTCGATTTCCAAAAATGAAGAAAAACAACAGGCGGATTTCTGTAACAGGCTGAAAATATTTTCGAAAAAATCTTTTTGTTTTTTAATCAAATCTGTTGCTTATAATTTTTAAAATTTGAAAATTTTTTTAGCGTTTTAAAAATTTACGATATTATATATCGTAAAATTTGAATATATCGTAAAATTTGAATATATAGTAAAATTAATGATTGCTAGTCTAATCATTAATTTCATATTTTTATTAAAATTTTTGAAATATAATAAAAGTTATACACAGTACTCAAATAAAATTCTACATTCTAAACTTTAATTATAATTCATATAACAGTATATTTATTTGTTTTTAAAAGAGTTACTATATATCACTATACATATGATATTGCTATATACGACATATTTTAGTAGGCATACAAATTGTAGTTGGCAGCCGTTATTTTATTGTATGTTGGTAATAAAGTGAAAATATTCATATATGTAGATTTAATCTTAATAAAATAACAATAGAATTTTAAATTATTATAGCATAGAATTATGAATATGCCATTCAAAAATAAACGATCCCGTCAATAATTACTTTAAAAAAAAATCATTTATATTTTTGTATATCTATACATACTTGTTTTATTATTATTTGCTAGAATATAATACATAGACTAACAAATAATAAAGTGAAATACAATTACTAAGGAAAAAAGAAATAAAATAATTCAATAATTGCTAGTTCTGGAAATTGTTTTAGCAAGCGAAACTTAGATTAAAATTTTTCCATTCTCATATATAGATTTATCTATATATAATGTGTAATTTTTATTCAAGAATTGTAGACAATTATTTTCTTATTTTTAATTTACAAATTTTATTACAGATATGAGTGTGCATGTACATATATATGAATGGAATAAGTTCAACTACTTTAGAATTCGCGATATTACATATATTTTATAATTACGTCTACGATATATATATATATATATTTTGTTCATATACATTAATTATACTGACAATTATATTTTATATTATTTTTATGCAATTAATTTTAAATTTTCTATTTGATATTTTTTTTTGTTAATTTTATATTAAAGTGAAATATTAATAAGATGTTTAGATTTTAGTATTTATAGTTAAAACTCAGCGAAATCGCTTTTTCAGTAATTGGAAGCGCTAAATTTGAAAATTATATTTTATGCTTAAAAATATTTTTATTATTTTTTTATTACAGGTAAATTAACTATAAAAGAGCTACCATGACTAGGCTATATTCGTCCAAAATCTATAATCTGCTTAATTATAAATAGAGTATGCCCTATAAAATACAGACTTTACAGACGCAAAAAAAAAATTCTGAAATTTGCAAATATTTGAGTGTACAGCAATATTTAAAAGAGCTTTATTATTGTTCTATATATATATGTATGAACGTAACTTGTCGTATTTTTGTTGATTTTCACATATAAGAAAAGAGGAAGTAAGGTGAATTTAACTTACATTTAAAAAAAAGAAAAACGAAAATAATTATATGCCAGCATGGAGGCATAAATGTACGTTACATACACTCGCATTAAACGCCCGAGTAAAGAATTTTTCCATCTTTTAATTTCTCTGCTTTTTGCATTTTTTTTTTTTTTCAAATTATTGTAGTGATGACCTGCATTACAAATTTTTAATTTATAGTTAGAATGTGATTAACTTCACTTTTTATTGTATACAAAAATAATATTAAAAATGTTATTTGAATTTTTTTTTTTGTTTTATATCACAATTATTTGTGTTGCGCGTGCAGAAAGTTACGAGTTAGTTTTTTCATTTTTCTAAATAAACTTTAGAATGATTTTTTTTTTTCTAAATAAAGCAATTTGTTCTAAATTTATGGTTTATTTCAATAAAATGCTTATTTTAAAATAAAAATACTACAACTGAATAAAGGAAGTCATTTTTTTATTCTGGTATTAATTATTTCAATTATATTTTGCTCATACAGTAGCAAACTATGAATTTCTTTAAAAAAAAATGACGCAGGTGTAAAAAGAATTATATAAATTTTACTTACACGTAAGAAGAATATTTCTCTGAGGTTGATTCGAAATTATTTATTTCGAATTCTATAGTAGAATGGCAGAATTGCAAAAATTATTATGCAAAATTTTCAAACTAAAATTGCATATTTATAGGCGTAAAATTTTTTCATTTATTTCTGAGATATACAGCTAATTACATACTAATGTAAAACAATTTAAAATTTAAGTAAAATTATGTTACCTATACAATTGTTTACTTATAAATTAGAGAAAAAATTGGTTGGGAAAAGCTATTTTCAATTTGATTTGACAGTATACTAAACGGCTATGTATGTTAAATTTTCATATATTATTTACGCTAAGATTGTATTTTACTAAATTTTAAAGGAAACATACGCTAAGATTGTATGTATATTCAGGTAATAACGTACCGCGTTTGAAGAGAATCTATTTAGTTCAGATCGAAAACTATGATGAATTCTAGCATCTTGTAGAATTCAGAGAATATCCGACACATTGAGTGTATTTTAATTCAGTATTAATCTTTTATTACTGATCATAACCCTGCATTCTAGCAAAATATTACTTATGTACCGAGATTTAAGCTATTTAAATCTCTCAGGCTACATGGGTTTTATTCGCATTTATATTAATCTATAACTTTTTTTAATTTTTGTGTCAATAATTTTCTAAGCGTTATTTTTCGTGTCGAAATTTTATAGAGTATTTACAGTACTCCATTCCTCGCCTCTTCTCTTTTTTATTTGTTTTCTCTTTTCATGTCGTATGTAGTTCAACCCTGCAGACGGGCACTGTTTTTCTTTACTGATTTTTTAAGTTACGTTTAAACAAACAGGCAGCTCGTATTTTTTTTGCTTTCAAATTCGCAAATCTATAGTATTTGGTTTAATATATTTTATATATGTATGTGTATTATTCATATCATTTATTATCCTTAATTGGATTTATATTTATTTTCTACATAATTTATATTAGAATAAAAAAACAAATGAAAATATATCCACAAAAAGGGAGAGAGAGAGAGAGAGAGAGAGAGAGAGAAAGAAGAAAAAAAAACATTTTTGTTAACAA